TTTTAGACATATGCTACATTAATATTTATTGGCATTAACAGAGAAAACGTTTTTCCAAATGAAATTAAATTCACTTAATTCGGCATAAGGGTTAGGAATTACAATGCATATTGGGGCCCACAATTCAGTTTATAAGAAATGTTCTATCATGCCTTATTTGAATTAAAAGAATCATCCCATTTACATGAGTAATTTGCTTAGAATTTCTTTTTGTGCATAGTATGAGCTATAGATATATAGAGAAGTGCATTGCTTACATGACTGCAATAATTATTTTGAATTCAAAGAAAATATAGTAGAATAATTATTACAGACTAAATTGTGCTAGCCCCCTTCCCCCAATATATGTGGTAAATCCTTACCCCTATACCTGTAGCAATAACTCTCATTGGAATAGGTTTCCTTTGTTATGCCAATGAGGCAGCATTGTACATAGTGTGAAGTACCCATAAGATATTTACATAGTATGAATTATAGATAAGGATCCCTGGTGGTTCTGTCTGGGAAGCATTGGACTAATAACTGCAAGATTGGAAGTTCCCATCCATCAGCTGCTCCAAAAGAGAAAGGTGAGCCTATCTGCTTGCTTGAAGACCACCAGTCTCAAAAGCCCCATGCAGGGTCCATAGGAGTAGGAAGGAATCGATTTTGTGGCCCTTGGTTTCATTTGGTTGTGGTTCTTTCCTGCACTTTTGATAGATTTTTGTTTAACTTTACTTGTTGCATAAAAATTGTCCCCAAGTAATTTACAAACATCATTCTCTATTTTTAAATGGATTGATAAAACAAACTTGGTAATATATATGAAGTTTATATGCAATGTATCTAATTTATATATGGCTCTTCTTCTGGGCACTCTGGTCCATTTCAACTGTCTCTTCTTTCAGCAATAACCACCGACAACCAAACCTACTACCATCGAGCCACGTCTGACGCACAGGGACGGCATAGGGTTTCCAGAACCCTAAGCCATGATAGGAGCCAGTCGCTTCACCTTTCCCCCTCAGAGACACCAATGGCTTTGGACTGCTGACTTTGTGGTTAGCAACTCAACACTTATCTAACAGGAGCCCTATAGTTTTAATTAGTATAGTTTTTGTGTTTAATAATATAAGGTATTTTTTCTGGAAAAGATTAAACATTTTTATTTCTTCAAAATTGCCATTTTGATTTTCTGGTGCATTTTATGATCAGCAGATGAAGCTCAAAAAATATCATTTCGGCATTTGATTGGGAACATTTCATACCTATGGAATCTCAGTTTTCTGATTATAAAGTGGCTTTTTTCTTTTATTTATAGTCACCTTTTAAATTATTTAATAATATTTTGTAATTTATTTCATGAAGATTGCCATCAAATTTGTGTCAATACGGGTGGGTCAGAATTCGATATGGTTTGGTAGTTGAAATCTCATAATCACTCATGACGTGACTTAGCGCAATGTAATGATGTAATGAACTCTGTAAGAACTGCTATATGGAGCCCATCGGTTGTACCAAGATCAGGGTGAGATGCAACCCTGTTACTCGGGTCACAGTCCTGACATAATTGGGAAGATGTTGCCCCAGGGGTGCGGCCTGTTTCCTACATAAGTAGATATTATGCTAAGATGTACGTACGTTTTGCTTGGTCTAGATTCTGCATTTGGCTATAGAACTCCAGCTCTTGGGACATCAACTAATGATTTCCCCATGTTGCTTGCTATGAGTAGACCTGTATGTTATCTGACAACAGCAACATTCACCTGCGGGTCACATTTAATACAATTGTTATTTTCACTCTTTCCTCAGAGATGTGCCTCTGTAATGTGCTATGATGTGGAAAGATGACCTGGTGGTG